GAGGTATAGTGATGAGGGGAGAACCGGAGGTGAAAAATCCCCCCGCCTTCCCCCGTCCAGGAGACCACTCTGGATCCGTCCAGGCCTATCGAATTTTGCTTTTCCGTTTGGTCACCGTGAAATCTTGCATATCGTTATATATATTGCGAATTATATCGTTATAAGTCAACCAGATTTTAGTCTGAATCAGAGAAACTGCACTTTCTTAACATTTTCCTAACAATTCGAAATTTCTGTTTTTCGTTTAGTGGCTCAACGGAACAAAACATTGGCATGCCAGCTACTACATTTGGTTCGCAACGTTTCGCTCAGCCAATCGGAGTGCCCTCAAATCGCCTGCCTTCGTTTGGAAGTCAATCCACGTACGAGAAACCTTTCATCCGCTACGTCAATGCAAGACAGGTTTACAACTTTTCTGGAATTTTTCTGAAATTGTTTTATGATTTGAAATTTACCGTTGGCAAGTTCCAGTTCCTATTGTTATTTTCATTTGGTCTGTTACCATTTAAAGATTCTAGAATTAGTGATTTTCAATTATCGAATTAGTTGCAGTAACGAGTTTGACCGAAAATTTGAACGAGCTGGATGAAATTTTTTTCCCAAATAACTTATTTTATGAAAATCCAAATAATTATTCTTCCCTTTCAAAAGCTAAGAAACCTGCTGCAGCCAGTCTGCTCTACCACTAATTCGTAATTGATAAACACAGGTCTTTTGACATCCTTTCCCGTCAGTGGTTGTTGTTGGTAAAAGCGCTATGATCATATGACTTTTAGAGGCTCACGTATGAAAGATTTTATATAAAAGACAAAATTTCCGTAATTCACTGTATAAGATAGACTCATTTTAAAGTCCAGAACACTAAAGGATGCATCACGGCCGTCATGTGGACGAAATCTAGTTGTGGCGTTGAGCTACGGCGCTTACAGCTTAATGGATCGAAACGTCTTATCTTATCATTTCCCCATCCTCTTAGCCTTTTAAGCTCTCTGGTCTTTTTTCTCTTTTTTCTCCTCGTCTGTTCCGGCTCGGTCTTAAGTAATTTGCTATGAGTGCTAATTGAATTTAGGATCCAGGAACAAGCGATCGCGAGCCAACACCGCCGCGGCTTGATTACGCTGCCGTTACGGTTGGTCAGTCCGATGAAAGCTTGCCCGCAATCGCAAGGTATTTTTAGGGAAAAATTTCGCCTACCTAAAATATTTCTTCGTTAAAAAAATCGTAGGCTCCTAAGTTTGATCAAGCACTACCGGCTCTAGCTATTTGCTATTATTTTGCTAGAAAAGCATGATGAATTGCCAGCTTTCAAAAATCGGAACCAGAGTTTGCTTTACAAGAAGATGCTAAATAAAACGCTCAGTCTTGAGATAACCGTCACAAAACAATGTGTACCTATTATGAGCTGATAATCTCCTCAGCAGATGATATGGGAGACAAAATCTCCAACGGGCTGACCATTCGGGAAAGCAAGAGTGGTCAATACAACTAAAAATTTTCCAATTGCAAGCACTGTTTTGGATTATCGTAGCTCGAGGAAAACAATGATTTCTTAAGTTGGCAAAGTTATACATGCTGATCAATGATACCTAAAGCCGATGACTTTAATTGAATATTTACCAACGAGTGATCCTAACTGAAAGAGGACAGAAATTCTTCCTCTTTCAGTGGAAATTTTCTGTCAAAATATACTATCTCAATATGAGATAGTATATCGTGAGGTAGAGAAATCCTTAGCTCGCACACGTACAGAGAATATCCCTGCAAAGTTTCAGCACTGTACGTTGACTGGTTCGCGAAATCGTTTCCCACCGAAGAAATTTACATATTTCACGTTTCTCTTCTATTTTGCCGCGTTTGCAGAACAACACAGTCTGGTCAGCGAAGCAGCGATGTAGCATCGGTGGATATGGCATCAAGCGTGAACTACACAAAAATAGATCTGGAAAAAACTCGCGCAGTCGAAGTAGCGGCAAGCACCGTTGAAAAGGAAAATCCACATCGACGGCAATTTCCGGCCAGTACATCACTGGGCAGTTGATTACTGTCGCAGAAAACCTGTGTCTCTAATTAATAACATGCAAATGTAAAATTGTTTCATGCAGTTTTATAAGGCGTACTTAGCAGGTAGAAGGCTGTAAGGATGATTTTACCAGCAGTACGCCTCTGTCTTTGTTTGAAGCTAGGGGATGAAATATGGATTACACCACTATTCCAATACCTAGGTCCTACTATAATATGAAATTACCAGAGAATCCTAAAATTTAGAAGCGGAGGAGAAGGGTTGTCCAGGAGTTAAAAATCCCTTTCGTATTTGTTCTCGTCAAATTCCTCCTAATACACGGTATTTCCGATAAATTAAAGAGATTTCAAAAAAGAATATGTTTACTTTTCGAAACACTCACTCTACTTTTTTATAAGATATCACATTGGTAGACTGAATTTTTGCTTTTGTAAGGCATCTGAGATTTTAGCTAAGATCTTGTCTCGTTGCCAGAGGAATGGGTTAGGTCAGTGTAAAACTCAAATGATATCCTGTAAAGATCTCACGTTGAAACAAACACGCGGAGAACCTTTCCAGGTCGATTTTATTTCGGTTCACAGATCTGGTTAAGTGGTAAGGTAGTGTAACTCGTATGTCAATCCCCAGGGTTCGACTCCATTGCTGGGGCAAGTATTCCCTGTACGATTCGTTTCGACTGTAAACTGGTCACCAGTGCGTGTCAGTGACTCGAAATTGCCTTCCGTTTGAACATAAGCAATATAAGGATTTAAATTCAGCCTCCAGATGTGAATGGTTCTCACGTACGGCCCCGTGAAAATT